TTTTTTCTTCTGATCTCATTTTCTCTCAGAGGCCTGGTGGAGGGGAGGGTCTGGATTGACCTGGAAAAGCCATAAGCAGGAGTCTGGGGGAAGGTTCCCTTGGACATTTCTAGTCCTCCACTGCTACCTGACCCATAAAAGACTCACTGGGAAATCTCTGAAATTGCCTGAAATAAGTGGGCTTATTAATTCTCATACAGCCAAGTCTCCTTCCATTTCAAAACTTTCTAATTGTGCCAGTCCTAAATTTCAAAAAAAGGTTACACTCATATTCCCTGGCTTAAAAGTTCTTTTGATGATAATTCAGGGTTCCCCAGCTGCTAAAAACAAGATGCTATTTGTCTAACAATGAAAAACACAGATGAGGTCAGATCTTTTGTGGGGTAGGGGTGGCTTGAGGTAAAGGAAGCATCATAATCTCATCCACTGCGGGGAGGAATTTTGAATCAGGGAAGCTGGCTGGCCTTGGACTCCATCCAAGGGTATTCTGTCACTGAACTATCCAAGAGAGCCTTATAAGGCGGTTTCTTCTAGAAGGCCGGTCTACTGTGGACCCCGAGGGCAGGCTCTAGGGACAGGATGGAAATCGTATTTCAGGATGTTAATAAATGCCTGCTCAGCTTAATCATTCCACCTCAGAGCTGTGTAGTTTGAAAGATTTAAAAATTATAAAATCTTCCCCCAGACATGGCCCCTCCCCCTCAAGTTATTTCTCAGCTCTCCTAAAAAGTCTCTTGACTTCTGCCTGAACATGGTATCCTATTCAACAGTTTTTACTGGAAAGTTCTTCCTGATGTATCATCTAAACGTGCCTTGTGGCTATTTAATTCCAGGCCTTTAATGCCATCCTCCTGAAGAAATGTATTAAGAGAAAAATTTGACAGGCACCTTCCATTTAATAACTAACTCCCAAACGATGAAGAAACATTAACTTGTTCTTCAGATTGCTTTCCTCTGAAAGAATCCTAAGTCCTGTAAGACCCCACTTTCTGCCCTTCAGTTTTCAAATCTTTCTTAAAATGCAGTGATTGAAACTGGACAAAGTGATAATAAAGAATCAGCAATTCACTCAACATTCTTGAAATTTCTGTGCCAAGAAGGACAGCTGAGGCCAGAAAAATTTTTAAAGCATTTCTATTGGACTGGAGCAGACTCTTAGGGGATGTGACTTTTTCTGTTTCTGATCTGAAAGCAGACATAAAGAGTGATAGGGACTTGAGGGGGAAGAGACTCCTGAAATAAGCAAGTGGTGGTAATTTGGAGGCAGGACCGGCTAATAAAGCGAGTGAGGTGAGGGCAATTTCTGAGCAGTCATTGAGTAACGGAAAGCTCCTTAAGGGCTTTTCACCCCCAAGTGGCAAGCAGCTTGCCACAGCAGGCTGGGAACCCGGAGTCGACAACGCTTCTAAGATGTAAGAGGGAAACAGGTCTTGGGAAGGAGTGTAGACATCTGTTGCTGGGATTACAGTAACAGCTTCCTTACGGGAGTCTCTGACTGCAGTTCTCACCTCCTTCCAATCCATTCTCCCAATAGATGCCAACAAAGCTTTCCTAAAAGCACAAATCCAGCACCATCACTCAGCGGCTCCTGCTGCTCTGCGGCAGCGTCTCAGCTCCTTACGGGGTCACAGGCCCTCACCTGTCACTGGGCTCTGCCACGTGGCCAGCTGCCTCCGTCTCCCCAGGCAGTCCCACCAAACCACATGCAAGTCCTTCTGCTGGCTACGCTCTGGTCATCTTTCTCTTAAAAATATTTTTAACTGATAAGTGAAAACTGTATATATTTATGGTATACAACATGATGTTCTGATATATGTAGACATTTTGGAATGGCTAAATCAGGCTGTTTAACATATGCATTACCTCACAGTTTTTTTTTCTGGTGTGTGGTAACACTTAAAGTCTATCTTAAAACTTTTTATTTTTTTGAGACAGGTCTTGCTCTGTCACTCAGCCTAGAGTGCAATGGTATGATCATGGCTCACTGCAGATTTGACCTTCTGGGCTCCAGTAATCCTCCCGCCTCAGCCTCCCAAATAGCTGGGACTACAGGTGTGCGCCACCACACCCAGCTAATTATTTGATTTTTTATAGAGATGAGGTCTCACTATGTTGGCCAGGCTGGCAATTTTCAGGTATATAATATATTGTTATTAATTATAGTCACCATGAGGGAAAATAGATCTCCTGAGCTTATGTCTGCTTTCTAACCAAAATTGTGTGTCCTCTGACCAGCATCTCCCCAGTCCCATCCCCTGCCCCCAACCCTATCCCTGGTAACTGCTGTTCTATTTTCTATTTCCATGAGTTTGACTTTTTTAGATTCCATATATAAGTGAGATCACGTAGCATTTGTCTTTGCCTGGCTTTTTTTTTTTTTTTTTTNTTTTTTTTACTTTATGTAATGTCTTTCTGGTCCCCTCGTGTTGTGGCAAATGACAATATTTCCTTCTTTTTAAAGGCTGAATAGTATTCTACTGTATATATACAGTGTTTTCTTCTTATCTCCCATCTAACTACTGCAACCTCTATGCTAGCTCTCCTCCAGCCAATTCTTTCTTATCCCTATCTCAGTCAGGACATCCTTCTTCCACTAAGTGATTTCTGGCTCTTCCTCCAGAAATCTGGGTCTCCTCCTCAGGCTCTCTGACAGTCCTCATGGTACTACTGTGTTACTTTAATGAAGTATTACACTGACTTGTACTCCCCCAAGATAAACCAGACAATTAACGACTTCATTTAATTTGAAACCCCTTTGTTTTAACTTTCAATGAAGTTCATAAATTTACTGAAGGATAGTAGCAGAACATGGGCATTTAAGTGATATATTACCAACATAAAAATGAGTCTAATGAGTCTAAAATGAGCTTCTCAAAGAATAGAGGTTTAAAATTCATCAAATAAAATGAGTTCCTGAAAATCAAAATCTATACTGAAGCGTTTTCCATGTACAAAGCAGTTTGTTGCTCTGGATCTAATTCTACTCAGCAAGGGGATGTGGAGATGTTGGAATTTGGGGGGAAAAGTTACCATTCAATGTTGGAGTTCAGGATTGCTGATGATAGACAGGAAGGCAAGTCAATGTCAGATGAATTCCCTGGCCTAGACTTTAGGAAGGCAGAAGATGCCAGAGGAAAAGAGAACAGATGGACAGGAGAGTGACTTTCCTGTATTTCCAAATGGGAAAGTACTTTCTTCAGAGGATTCCTTTGTTAACATTTACTTATCTTTTTGAGATGAAGTCTTGCTCTGTTGCCAGGCTGTAGTGCAGTGGCACAATCTTGGCTCATTGCAACCTCCACTTCCTGGGTTGAAGTGATTCTCCTGCCTCAGCCTGCTAAGTAGCTGGGATTACAGGCACCTGCCACTACCCCAGCTAATTTTTGTATTTATAATAGAGACAGGGTTTCATCATGTTGGCCAGGATGGTCTCGATCTCTTGACCTCATGATCTGCCCACCTCTGCCTCCCAAAGTGCTGGGGTTACAGGTGTGAGCCACCACGCTTGGCCTCCTTTGTTAATCAACAAATCTTTATGAGGTGCCCAACTATTAGCCAGACACTGTGTTGATGAGGAATTATAAAATGAAATCCTTCTTTTACGATGCTTACAGTCTAGTGGGGAAGACAGACATTCAAATAGTCCTTTTGAGACGGTTGGGGAAGGTCTATTCTAGCCACACTTTTTTCCACTCAGGGCCTATGGCCTTGCTGTTCCTTTTGCTAAAATCCTCCCAAGCGTTCTTAGCATAGCTCCGCTCATCTTAAAACTGCTCATTCATATCGAGTCTCTATCCGATTTCTCTGTTGTACACCCTTCACAGCATATACACATTGTGTGAAAATGTCTGTTTCCTTGTTTCTGTAGATCTTATTCAAGGCTCCTTACCCTGAGATTAGGAGAGTGCCTAGCCAATTCATAGGTTCATTCATTCATTGATTCATGGATTAGACATGTGTTTAAAGTGCATACTGTGACATGGTAAGCCCCATAAAACTGCATACCTCAACCATACCTCGGCTTTCTGTTGAAACTGCTCTCTGTAACCCCCAATGTGACAGGCAAGCAGTCCAAACCCATGCCATCTTGGCCCCTGCAACTTGTAATAAGTAATTAAGGTCTGTGATTTCCACCCTACCCAGACAATGTGTAAACAAATGCTTATCTTGACTTTTGTGAACCACTTAAGTAACAATCAGAATGTCAAAAGTCCCCTGGCCCTCGGAATGTCTGGAGCCCCTCACCCTCATCTCCCCCCAGGAGGTGATTTACCGAATCCACTAGCCCTCGGAATGTCTGAAGCCCCTCACCCCCGCCCCTCACCCTCACTCCCAAGGTGGTTTTATGGGTATAAAATGTCTTGACACCCTCCTTTCGGGGCCACGGGTTGGAGAGACGCGAGTCCTCCGTGGCTGCCAGCAATAAAGACCCTGCAATTTGGCATACTTTTGTCTTGGTGTTGACTTTCTATGCTCGGGCCAGAACAACAATACTACATACCAGGCACTTATCTAGGTCCTTGGGTCTATATGAGGGAGCAAAATCTCCCTTCCCACCTGGAGCTTTCATGTTGAATAATGACAAAAATTAATGTTCATTGAACGCTTTCTAGGAATAATATTCATGACATTTAATCTTCATGACAACCCTATGAGATAGACATGGTCATAATCCCTATCTTACAAGTGAGAAAAAACGCTGGACAGAGAGGTCAAATAACTTGCTCAAGGCTATAGCTGGGAAATGGTCAAGATTCACACTCAGGGAGTCTGGCTTATGAGCGCCTCATCTTCACTTCTCTGCTATACTGCCTCTTATATACAGATACACAGACAAGTACAATAAATATTAGTTGAAACAATGGCTGGATGCATAGCCCTAGAAGAACAAATACATTATTTTGGCGTCGGGGAAAGTCAGAATGCTTCACAGAGAAAGTGACAGAGCTGATCCTTGAAGGCTAGGTAAGAGTTTGTTTTTTAAATTCTTTTATCTTTCATGTCAGACAGGTAATGTGCCAATGTCATAACAAGGCATACACCTCAAGGGTGACACACCTCACACGTGTATGACCACTCAATCACATGCTTATGAACTATAAAAGGATCATAGGTAAGAGTTCAAAGGATGTAAAGGAAGTGAAGGAGGGTGATTGTGGTGTGTGTGGAGGTGGGAGACATTGCAGGCAGAAGGCACAGCATCTTCAAAGGCATAGAGACATACATGCTGAAGTGTGAACAGCAGACACTCACTGTGGCTAGTGCATAATGGAGGTTGGAGAGAAGAGGTCAAAATAATAGAAGGGAGTTATATTGTGAAGGCCCTGTTATACCCTGCTAGGTAGTCTGAATTTGGTCCTACAGATGCTAAGAAGGGAGACCCTTAAGAATGACATTCTGATTCCCTTGTGAAAATGAATTCTGAGGGAGAAGGGATGGTACCTAATGAGACCAAAACTGCTGAAATGGGATTGCCAAAGAGCGTAGATTTCAAAGACTGGGAACAAAAGGTATAATCAATAATTGGAATAGAGAAGCACCATGTTCTCTTCCAACTATGAAATTTTCTACCTTACCTTCTCTATCACCTTCTTTTTATTAAATGGAATCTTCAAATTCCCCCTTCTGATTACCCATGACTTCAGGGTTGAATGGCACTAAATTCATAATGACAGTTCCAAGATTTGAAATTATTTGCTGATTATCTTTCAGACATATTTTCAAGTAGATGGCTTTGCCTCCTACCAGAGAGGTATGGAAAACAAGCAGACCAAGATCTCTTCCCAGGTAGGTAAGTGGTGATCTTAGAAAAGATGAAGACTGGGATGAGCTCCAGGGCTCCAGGGCAAGTGCTCTGGGAGGTAAGTTTGAACTTGTAAAGATACTTTTTTGTTTTGTTTTATTTTTGAGACAGAGTCTTGCTCCGTCACCCAGGTTGGAAAGCGGTGGTATGATCTTGACTCACCACAACCTCCACCTCCCGGGTTCAAGCGATTCTCCTGCCTCAGCCTCCCAAGTAGCTGGGACTACAGGCGCCCACGACCACGCCAGACTAATTTTTGTATTTTCAGTAGAGACGGGGTTTTGCCATGTTGGCCAGGCTGGTCTCGAACTCCTGACCTCAGATGATCTGCTCGCCTCAGCCTCCCAAAGTGCTGGGATTGTAGGCGTGAGCCACTGCTCCCGGCCCAGATACTTTCTTAATCAGCAATACCAGGTCTGTTTCGTGCATCCGTGGTATATAGCACCTACTACAGTGCTGATTCAAGTTAGCTGCTCAGTAAATGCATGTTAAATGGTACCAAAAGTCCAGAAGGCAGATTGAACCACACCATTGTGGCTGAATCCCACCGTACTGCCCCTCTTGGGCTCCCCCAACTCAAGTTACACACAAGCATAACTCAAGTTTCTTCTGAGAATAGAAAGGACTAGAGGAGCCTAAACAATGCATTTCCTATTCTGTGCAAAGGCCCAGTATGAAATGGCACAGAAGTAAATGACACTCTGTCCAGTTTGCTTCTATAATTGTCAAAACCCATCCAGGAGTCAGAAGAAATATATCAGGGGACATGATAGGAATCACTCTGTTGTCTCTGCTGTGGAAAGATTCTGCTGTGGGAAAGATTTCACATTCTCTTCTGCTCTTTGGCATTCTCCTATAAATGGTCTCTGCCATTTAGACCTCATCTCTCTCAGTTTAGGATGAGAAGAAAAGGCTAATTTAAGTCAAGGTTTCCAGTTTTAGATGCTGTTTTCCCTAACATTTCCCCAGATATAAAGAAAAGCTGGGCTGGAACCCTCAAAGGGTTTGCAGTCTGGAGAGGTACTGAGGAGCTGGGTGTATGAGATAATGAGGTTATGAAATTGGTTCTACATGACTGTCAGTCTCGATATTTTATAATCAGACTCTGTGAGTGTTTGGAGAAGTATGTAGCAGGAGAGAAAAAGAAATATTAACTATAGACTAGAAATTGACTACATTTGAACAATCACCAAGCTAACCTTATGCTCTGATAAGGCAAGTATCTGTCATATTGGAAAAAAAAAAAAAAAAAAAAAAAAAAAAAAAAAAAAAATATGAAAAAAAAAAAAAAAAAAAAAAAAAAAAAAAAAAAAAAAAAAAAAAAAAAAAAAAAAAAAAAAAAAAAAAAAAACTATGGGGAAAGTTCCCTATTGTAATGTTTATAAGAAAATCTCAATATTTGGAATAAATTCTTAAATAATGCACATTTCTCTTTTCATGTGACCGACGAATGAGATCCAAAGTAACAAATAACTGTTTCTATTGGAAACACATACAGATTATTTTGGGCTACAATTCTCTAAGTTTAAGGTGATGATACCATTAATAGTTAATAGTGAGTTACACAATTTAAGGCTTTCAATAGTGAATCCTGAAATTGATGACATACAACTTATTAGTGTGTGGATTTCTGGGAAAAGCTTTAAAGAAAGAATTTGGAAATTCTGGAGAAAGTCTGAACTGTGTTAAAGAAGCAACAGCTTCTGTAATCTCAAAACTGCCTTCTTTCCCTTTTCTACCTTGGCTAGGACCAGGAGCTGCCAACATTGGATGTCTGACTTTCCCTTGAAAATACTGCTGATGGAAAATGTTATTTCAGGCATTAGAGTTAAAATGTCTCTCTCTCTCTCTCTCTCTCTCTCTCTCTCTCTCTCTGTGTGTGTGTGTGTGTGTGTGTGTGTGTTTACAAGTCCAGACTATTTTCTTATTTCATTTACTGCAAGCTTGGACTTGTTTGGAATAAAGTAAACAATCAAACATAATCTCAAAGACATTTCTGCTGAACAGTGCATCCTGGGGACAAATTATGCAAAACAATACAAATCAAAGACACAGGAAGGAAAAACAAAATGGTCAGAAGGTTCACAACAAAGTGCATCACAAAAACATTCTTCAAAAAGTTTGTATTTTACTTTTGTCCACAAATAATTAGCTGGTTAGATTATTGTTTGAGAACCTGTAACTTTTAGTAAGTGGACTATTTTCTTAAATACAAAGAAATCGGGGCTGGCCATAGTGGTTTACGCCTGTAATCCCACCAGCCAGGATTACTTGCGCTCAGGAGTTCGATACCAGCCTAGGCAACATAGGGAAACTCCATCTCTACAAAAGTTACAACAATTATCCAGGCGTGGTGGGCTTGTAGTCCCAGCTACTTGGGAGGCTGAGGTAGGAGGATCCTTTGAGCCCAGGAGGCAGAGGTTGCAGTGAGCCATGATCGCACCACTGCACTTCAGCCTGGGCGACAGAGCAAGCTGTCTCAAAAAGAAAAGAAAGTCTGTCTGGAAGTCCTTACTTTATATTTCATTGTCAAACTCCTTTTCCCCATCTCTTGACTTCACCTCTCTCTACATCTCCAAGCCAAGAAAGAATGAGAAATTGACATCTTTGGGTTTGCAGCTCTTGCGAATTGACTTGACAGATGTTAGCACGAGCTGGGTGCGCTTTGGGGAAGTCTGAGGTCTCGGAAAATCTTTTCTATGTATACACCCGGTCCTACGAGTTCTCACTTTCTTGGCGCACGCACCAAACTCTCAAAATAAAACGACCAAAAAGGATAAGGGGAGGCGTCGCTCACCACTCCCGTCATCCCGCGGCTGCCAACTCTTTCCCTCCCATCTGCCCCCTCGGAGGCCCGCGGGGGAGTCGCGGTGAAAACAGCGCTGCGGCGAGGCCGCCGCGGACGCCCCGTCGGATGTGCCCTTCGCGGGAAGCGCTCGTGCCCACCTTGCTCGCAGGTGCCCTTGCTGACCTGGGTGATGGCCTTCTCCCCGCGGCTCTCGGCCCTCTGGCTGGCGGCGCGCAGCTGGCAGCCGCTGGGGTAGGTGGTGCCGTCGCTGCCGCACACCGGGTAGCGGCTCTTGCACACGCACACGCCGCTCACGCCCGGGCCGCCGGCTGCTGCCCCGGCTTTACCCTTCCGCCTCTTGCGGCTCTTCACGCACTCCATGCCCGGAGCACAGTACCCCCTGCCGGCGCCGCCGCCCCCGCACGGCTCGCCCTCGCCGCGGGCGCACATCGGGCAGCAGCCGCACGCGTCGCGGGTCTCGCCCAGCAGGCAGCCCAGCGGGGGCAGGGGCGGGCAGGCGGCCGGCTCGCAGGGGCCGCAGGTGTCAGAAGAGGAGGAAGAGGAGAGGGGCAGGAGCAGGAGCAGCAGCCCCGCGGAGCCTAGGAGCAGGGCGTGCAGCGACGGCCGCTCCATGGCGGGGCGCGGTGGCAGCGGCGGGAGCGCGAGTGAACCGGGTCTGGCCGGCCAGAGCCTTAAATCTACGCCCCGCCCGGCCCGGCCCCAAGAACCACACCCCGACGCGGGGAGCGCACGGGGGCCCCGCCCGTGCCGCGCTCCCGGGCCTGCCGGGCCTGCGCGCGCGCTCCTGCTGGCGGGGTGTGGGGGTGGGAGACTTGGCGGGACGGGCCCACGGGGCGCTTGGTCTCAGGCCCGCCTCGCCGAGCGCACCCCGCCGGCTCTTGCCCAGTCCCCAGTCCCCAGTCCCCTGACCTGAGCACTCAGGGATCGCCCCGCAGTTCGCGAGCGGCTTCTCCACCCTCTGGTTTCTCGTCGTTTCAGTCCATGTCTTTAAACTTCTTAACAACCACGATTTCGAGAAGACCCAGGGTTTTATCTATTAAATCCTCCGTGGACCAGAGACACGTGAGTGCTCATTACTGTGTGGTTTGGGAAGCTCTTTTAAGAACAAGCTGTTGAAAAACCCCACCTGTGGATTTTGTGCCCACGCTGGCCACAGGCCCGCTGTAGTCTTGGGTGTCAGGCACTGAAAGGACAAATTGTGGCCAACCACCTTCTGGAAGCTTCTAACTGCCTGCACCTCCCTCCCCGTTTCCCCCCCCGGTGGCATTTGACAACACTCTGTGCTTTTTTTGTGTGCTGAGCCAAGTTTTCAGTGAGTACTGGAATCAGTGTGAGAGCTGGCCTGTTTTGAGTTCTTGCTGAGCTGCTGGCCCTCCAGCAAGCCTCTCGGGAGAACGGAGCGCAGCTGAGAGGAACAGGGGTCCCAGCTCCTCCCGTGGTGAAACTGCCACCGAGGCACCTAAAGCGCCCCAGTCTTTACCAGCATTCCGGGAGGTTTTTGATATAAACGAGGGACTCTTCCTCAGTCTTTCTGCAAAGTGCTCTCCAAACTCAACTTGAAAGCCTCTCGTCAGGAACCCTGGCATCTCCAATGCAGACACGAAGTTGCTTTCACTTTTTAACTGAATGGGTAACACTGCAGCGTGCATTATTCTGCACGTCACATTGTGGTTCCTTTGTGTTCTTTTTTCTTAGCATAAATCCAGGGATTTATAGGATTGCTGACTGAAAGCCAGCAGTTCAGTTCATAATCCCATCAGCAATGTAAAGAACTCATTTTCAACAGACTTTTACAAGGTTAGTTATTGTAAACTTTTCGAAAATTAAATGACCACAAAATCGGGGGGTGGAGAGTGGGAAATACCCTCCAATCCAGAAAAACCTAGCATGGCTTTTCGGTCTCTTCTTCGTGTGTTATAGACAAGTGGAGCATTTTTTCCCCCCAGAGGTCATAGTTGACCTGACTGTTGTTTAAAAAACAGTGACAACTCTTTAGAGCAGAGTTTTCCTAAATATTTTTGCGTTTGTTCCGTCCTGAGAGATGGAGTTTACATGACCCAGTATACACTCTGAAAAGGAAACAAATGCAGAGTGCAATCTATTTCCTATTCAATTTCTTTTTCTTTCTTTCTTTCTTTTTTTTTTTTTTTTTCCTATTCAATTTCTTTTTCTTTCTTTCTTTCTTTTTTTTTTTTTTTTT